CCGGCCCGGCGGAACGCGCTTTATAAGGCATCCCATGAAGCTCCGGGGTTTCAGCCCACCGGGACACGGCTTAACCTCTTCGGGACCGAGCCCGTCCCGCCGCCGTCCTCCGTCCCGACCTCCCGTAAACACCGGGGGGCTGGAGGCTCCGCAGCCGCTCCCGGGCAGAGTCAGCCCCGGGGGGGGGGCAGCAAACCCCCGGGGGTCGAAGGGAAGAGGCCGGGGGAGAAAAGTGCCACCAGCAGAGAGCCTAGGGAGGACACGGGGGGTGACAGGGGACGCAGGGGTGACAGCAGCTCGCACTCAGCCCAAAAGCACCGGGGGTCGTTGGGGTTTGCCCACCCTTGCAAAGCAGAGGGTGGCACCGGTGCCAGGTTCGTGCTCTGCGCCGGGGAAACCTGTGCCGCATGCTGGTTAATGGAACGAGCACAGATATCAATTAAGGCTCTTCATTAAACATTGTTCCACGAGCGCTAGCGGGGCTGAGTCCAGCCACAGAGCTGTGCGTAAAGCCCAGCTTTCAGCTCAGGCTGAAAACTGCACCATGACCAGCAGAGCCCCAGAGGCCCTCAGGGAGCAGGGGGTGTACCCCAGAGACCAAAACGGGTCAGTGAGGAAGGACCAAGTGATGGAAGATCCCACCTTGTCTCACCTGGCGCGGTGCGGTGCCTGGGAGGAGGTTGCAGAGCCCCAGCACTGAGGCCAGCAGAAGGGTGTTGCCCAAAGCTCTGTGCCAGCAGATCGACACCAACCCTCCCTGCAGACCGCAGCCTCGGGACCCCTGTGTCCCTGCCCATGAGACTGGTCAAACACAGCCTTGCTTGCACTGGGGATCCACCAGGAGAAGCTGGGCATTGGTGAACAGAGCTGGCTCCAGGGCTTGCCCAGCTGACTGGATCCCAAATCCTTTGGGATGCCTCATCAAAGGCTCCCTTTCCCCAGGGCCTTTGCTTGTCCTGGGAAATAGCTGAGCTTCCTTTGGGGTGGCCCTATGGGAAGCAGGAGCTTTGAGGGCCCCTGGATCACCGAGGGTGTTCTCAGAGTCCCCTCTCGAGCTTGAGTCACTGCCCTTTCAGACAGCAGCCCTGGCACGTCTCCAGGCTCCGACACAGAGGGGACAACCTGCCCCATCCCTCCTTCCCCAGGCACTGCTGAGCTGCAAACACACATGCACACTCCCGGACAGCCCAGGCAAGCACTGCAGCCAAACCCAAGGTGCAGAGCTCTCCCTCAGCAGCACTCCTAAAAATACACACACTGCTATGGTTTTGGCATCCTCCCATCTCTGTGCTCAGGGGCTGGCTGCTGCAGGACAGAGGAGATGCTGGTGATTTGCAGGGTGGCAGCCAAGCCACACACCTCCCCACACGCTGGAGCCAGGCAGGATGGGGTGAGCATGGCCAGGCTCGCAACTGGGAGCCAGCATTGCTGCCCAGGAGCCAGCTCTGCCTGATTAACTACAGAGAAGTATTTAAAGTTGGTGAGAGCTCCTTAGCAACAGGCGCTGTCTCTGCAGGCTGCTGATGGAGAAGAAAGGCCAGAGGAAAAATATGAGCAGGAAAGCTGGGGGTGGAGAAGAGGAGGCTGAGAAAAAGGACAAAGATACGGTGATAGAAGGTCCCAGTTGCTGGTGGTGCTGGAATAGGACCCAGGACAAACCCACCATGTCCTCTGGCTATGCCCAGCCCTGAACGAAGGGCATAGCCAGCGTCCAGCTCCTGATTGACAAATTAAACCTATTGCCAGAGATGTCTGGTCCTACGCACCCTCAAGAGATAACATTCCCTTTCCCAAAGCCACTTGCATGGCTGAACGGTTACACTTTGACCCACCCTCAAACTCCCCAGACTGAGCCCCCCTGTGCTGTCTCCAAGGGCTTCTCCATCCCTTGGAGTGTCACAGGCTCAGTTGAGACCCATAAATGATGCCCAGGAGTGCAGAGTTGTCATCTCACTCTCCCCATAGCTGGGAGCCAGCTGCCCCCCAGTAAGCCCTTCAGGGGGGAATGCCACACATGGGGGACAGTTTATTTTTCCATTAAAAAAATAGATAACAACTTCACTGTCTCCTAAGAGATATTACAGCCATCAACACCACAACGTGCAGACTAAATACCAATCTGTGAAAATATTCCTGTTCTGGGGCAGGAGGGATGGAGGCAGCAGGCTGGGATGGAGGGAGGAAGGAGACAGACATGTTTCCTGTGGCCTCAGAGCCTTGCCAGGAGGCTCAGCAGGTACAGGACCTAACCATACCTCTCCACAGCCCCAATCCAGGACCCACCAGCCCCCATAGTAGTGCCACACATGAGGAGCAGCACCAGGATATGCCTTCCATGCCCACACTCTTCACCTTGCCCCAGGGCAGCCCACAGAGGAGTCAGGTAGCCGCTGCCTTCAGTCTAGGACCCCAGGCATCACCTCAATACCCAAGAAGGCCAGAAACTCCACAAAACACCCAAGATGCTGCCAGGGCAGTTGTGGAGGTCACCCGCTTGCTCTGCCAGCTCACACAGGTGATGGGGTGTAAGGTGGCTTCTGGGATCAGACACTGGCCACATCCAGGGGTGGCCTTGGACACTTCTGCACTCCCCTAAAGCTCCCTGACCAACCCTGGCCATTCCCAGCAGCAAAACCAGAGGTGGAAAACCAGAGCTAAAGCTGGGCAGAGGGAGCCAGAGCAGTGAGGCCTTGGGGAGGGTGCAGCACCCTGCCCCAACTCCACAGCACCCTGGGGCCAGCCCTGGCCCCTCTGGAGAGCCTTGCGAGGAATTGCCAGTGAAAGAGAGACCAGGACTTGGGACTTTTCAGCCTCCCTGGAGGCATCACAAGCAATTGGGGGCGGGGGGGGATATCACTGGAAAGAATAAAGAGCTGGTTTCAGTTGGGATCAGGGAATGGGCCAGGCAGAGAGCAGTGGGGGAAAAGCAAGGAGAAAGCAGCAGGGACATGGGAACAGTTGGCCCTGGGGAGCCAGGACACTAGCCATTGGCTGCAGGGAGTCCAGCTCCAGGATGGGAGAGGGTTGGTTTGGGGGTAACCTCAAGCCAGCAATACCCAGAGCTGGCTCTACCCATCAAGGGAGAGCTACAGCCCATGGCCCGTGGGCTGCCCAGGGCGCAGCTGGGAGCAGAGGCAGCTGGGTGGCAGGAGCGGCGGAGCGTGGCTCACGCCTGGGGCCAGGCAGGCATGGGGGGGGACTCAGCAGAAAATGGGGATGGAAACCATCACGGGGAGCAGAGGTTGGCTGCCACCAGTCCAGCGATGAGCCCCCAAGGCTCTATTTCTGCATGTCACACTGCAGGAGGAGGACAATGGAGGGGTCACTCTTTGCTGCCTCCTTGAACTCCTCCAGGGAGATCTGGTCATCCTTGTCCTTGTCCATCTTTGTGAAGATCTTGTCAACACGCTGCTGGGGTGTCAGCCCATCTTGGTTCATCCTCATCATGATCACAGTCCCCACCATCTTGTAAATGGCCTGGAGCAGGAAGAGAAGCAAAGTACCATTTGTTAGATGGGCGAAAGGTCCCAGAACAAGGCAGGGGACAGGATTGCTGCTCTGCTGGGACCCAGTTAGCTGCTGGCACGAGCTATGCTGCTGCACAGCTACAACCAGGTGCACACTGGGTACCTTTCAGACAAGACTCTGGGCAGGAACTCTCATTCTTTGGGCCAAAAGGGACCCAATAGCTGTGAAAAGCCTAGAAAAATCAAGCTACCCCGCTGATTTTAAGCACTGGTACCTCAATGATCTCCAGCATCTCCAAGCGTGTGATCTTCCCATCCCCGTCCAGGTCGTACATCTCAAAGGCCCAGTTGAGTTTCTGCTCAAAGGTGCCCCTGGAAGTGACAGACAGGGCACAGATGAACTCCCTGAAGTCGATGGTCCCATCACCATTCTTGTCGAAGGTGCGGAAAGCGTGCTGGGCAAACTTGGAGGCATCTCCGTAGGGGAAGAACTGCAGGGAGGAGAGAGGAGAGAGATTGAAATGGGGAGAGGGAGCTCAGCATGGAGGCTGCACCCGAAGCAGCACCCTTGCCCCAGTAGGAGCAGGGTGCTCCAGCCCTGCAGGCAGTGCTCGGGTCCCCGACCGGAGCCCACCTTGATATAAAGCTCCTGGAACTCCTCCAGGTTGAGGATGCCGGTGGGACAGTCCTTGAGGAAGCCCTTGTACCACTGCTTCAGCTCCTGCTCGCTGAACTCCGTGCTCCTCACCAAGTCATCCAGCATCTCCGGAGCCAGCTTGCTGCTGTGCTTGCCCATGGCTGCCCCTGGGAGGGAAAACACACGGCTCCTACACATGGCTCGGGGAGGGCTGGTGCTCCCAGACCCGGCCCTGCCCCAGTGGCTGGCCGACCCCACATGCCTCTGCCCTGTGCTAGAGCTGATCCACCCAGCTGATGGGTGTCCATGCACCGTCAGATGCCAGGACTGTGACCGTGGCACTGGGGCACTGCTGGAGATGTGCAAGAGCTGGCCCTGGGGCAGCCCACCAGTGCAGCCAGCAGCATCACCTCCATTCCCCCACCCTCTTCTAGACTGGCTTCCTTTGGGCTGTAGAAAAACACTCAAAAAGCAACTGAAGACCCAGATCTCCTCCTCACATGGCCTTTACTAGGCCGTGAGGTCCACCTGCCCTCTGTAAGGACAGGACAAAGAAGAGGTAACACAAGTCTGCCTCTAAAGCAGGGAAGAACCTCACTGGCACCATCTGACTTTCAGCATCCAGCTGGCCGCAGCAATGCCCAACCCACCCCTGGCCAGCCCTTGGTGAGGATGGGGTCCGTGGCTGAGCACCCCTCTGCTGCAGGGCTGCCTGCAGCACGATGCACTGGAGCTCTGGCAAGCCCGCAGCTGCGTGGGCAGGATGCGGAGCTGCTCCGATACACGCCGTGCCCGCTCCCACGCAGCCTTGGCTGCTGGCACCGCTCAGCCCGAGCGGCAGATGGTTTGCTGAGAGCTCCTGGAGCTTCTCTCTCTAGAGAGAAAGTTGAGTAGAAGTTCACCTGGAGCCCAACCAAGCACCATCTCCCTTCCGAGCATCTGATTTCCTGGCCATGTGGGCTGCAGGACACGGGGGTACCCTGGGGATGGGCACAAGCCTCCCCCCGCAGCAATGCAGGGCTCCTCGTGCTCCCAGCTAATCCCACAGGCAGAGGCTGCTTCCTGCCCCATCATCCCACCAGCATCTGTCACCGTCTGCCGCGGCAGCGCTTAACCCACCACCCCTCAGCAGCCAGAGCCGAGGAAACGTCCGGACGCCCACAGAGCGCAACGCTTCCCCAGTGATCCCAGCTTGGTTTTAGGGCTACACAAGTCTCCCTGGCACAGCAGCCCGGCTCTAACCTGCAGGGACTGATTAATCCCCACCACGCACTACGCTCGTGTCCTCCAGCATCTCCCACCAGCCAGACTGGTGGGTGGATGCAGCCTCTCACCTGCACAAGGGGCAATTTTCCCCATAATGGAACAGCGAGGGCCTTTGCTGGAAGCACCACACCTTATCCTGCAAGTAAAGCCCTCGAAGAGGGCAGGACTCAAGAAAAGCATCCTTTGGTCCACAGACCTCGACTCCCGTTTCTGAGCAGGACCCAGCACAGGCCATGCCGGGGCAGGGGGCAGCAGGGAAGGCTGCTGGGGCCATCGCATGCTGGGCACAAACCGCTTGTCACAAAGCACCGATATCATCATCGGTCACTGGCTTCTGGTCCCAAAACAGGACAGAGAGGGGTCACTAAAGGTGTGCCCCCCAGGACTGCACCCTTGGCAGTGCAGGGCACCCAGCCTCCAGCACCACCCCGACGGATCGGCACCCTGGGGAGAAGGGAAGGGGCGCAGGGCTCTGCCGCAGGGGATGGATGGACGGACGGATGGGGCGGCCAGGCTGGCGGCAGCAGCACTCATGGGTGC